TTAATAACCTTAATAAGGACTAACGACGATCTATGAAGCCGATCATGTAAAGATAGAGAATCAAGACCGTAAATATCAGAACGACAAAAGAAGTTAGCAAACAATAATTGTCTAAAATCGATTTCTAGGAGATCAATGTAGAAACAAACAGTAAGAACGGATGGAGTTGAAGGAATACTTATGATTTATCAACAGGGTACCCTAGTTATACATCATATCTATCAAAGCATGAAATTCCCCTTGAATTACCCCCTTAGAACCCAACAAAAGCCTGCTCGATCATGACAAAGCAAACCATACAAACTCATAATCATTAAGAGTAGTAAAGGGGTTTAGAGAACTTCTCTATGGAGTACAAAGAGGTGAGATTTTTCTTCCTTATCGAACAAACAAAAAGAAAGAACAAAGTGTTTAGAGAGATGAATGCCTTGAGAGCTTTGTGAAGGTCTTCAAATTCTGTAAAGTGGTTAGGTCGTGGTGGTGGTGTCTTCTCTCGTGGCTGCTATTGTGGTTATATAGAGAAGAAATCGTATCTTTTGTTGAATCCCTTGAAATTTGGAAATAAAGTCAAAAAAGTAAAATTTCCAATTTGGAAATTAGGGATGTTAAAATGGGTAAACCCACCCCATTTAGACCCACCACGTTTAGACCAATATCCATTTAAATTCTAAGCCAAATTAGACCCATTTAATTTATGAACCTACTATGGTTGTTTAATTAGTCTCATTTATATTGCATTAACCCATTTAGACCCATTCAACGTAATATATATGATTTTAATAATATAATTAATTATTATATACTCTCTCCGTTTCATAATATATGATGTTTTGCCAAAAACTCAAATATTAAGAAAAAACTTTTTCTTTTAAAAAGTAGAATTTAATATATTAATTAAAACAATTCAACAAACTATAAAAAAATACTGCAAAATATTATTGGTCACACAGTTTTCAATAAAGCTAAAAAGTACCTTAAAGTATCAAAACATCTTATATTGTGAAACAAAAAAAAAACTCCAAAACATCTTATATTATGAAACGGAGAGAGTAGTAAATAATATTTAAGAACATATGTGATTCTATTAAATTTTAATTTAGTTAATTTAACAATGTATATTATAATAAGATTATGCATTTTCTTGTACAATTTAACATTTGTCCTGAGTTAATTTGATAACTATATCATAGT